TATTATTATTATTATTATTATTATTATTATTATTATTATTATTATTATTATTATTATTATTATTATTATTATTATTATTATTATTATTATTATTATTATTATTATTATTATTATTATTATTATTATTATTATTATTATTATTATTATTATTATTATTATTATTATTATTATTATTATTATTATTATTATTATTATTATTATTATTATTAAAATTATACATACATAAAATAGACATCTTCCGCATTGTATTACTCCAGACTAAGTTAGAACTGAAAATGTCAATCTAATTAAAAATATTCCTTATTAATGACGTTTTCAATGTGACGAATTAAATGAGTAAATTGTAAAAATGATCCATTTTTTTTTACATTTTCAATGTGACGAAATAATGAGTAAAATGTAAGATCTTACTAATAAAATTTTCAAATACTTATTTCATACCATGTTGAATGAGAAATATTTTTAAAAAATAGTGTTTTGAGATGCTTAATGAAGCAATGTAAAGGATGTGAAATTAGTCGAAACTTTTGTGTGAATTCTTTAAAATCGAATTCATAACAATTATGTTTAGTTGAGATGCTTATGTAGAAATCCATTTTAATATTTTTCATAAAAGTTTTAATTTATTTTATTAATTGCATACTATCGTATGTAATAAGTAGTATATTTTATTTAACTTTTGTGAGATTCCGTCAATTTAGCCCAATCAGTTAGATTTAATTCATTACAGTAGAGTCCGACAATTCGACCAATTTTAGTATTATCAAATGACTTTATATTAGACCGACTTTATTTTACTTTTGCATCACATTAAATTTTATATGATTTTGAAAATATCGAATTTACAATTAGTGATACACGGGCTTGAAAACTTAGTCATATAATATACGGAGTATTAGTATTTCAAAACCTACTTGATGATGGAACGCATTAGAATATTAAAATCCGGTTTATATCGGCAATGATTTCATATTTAAAATGCACCATACTTATGGGGTTTCGTAGAATTTGGTTTATTTGAAAATTACCTCTTTTCCTTCTTTACTCTTTAGATTTATCAATCGAAGAACAAAGTTAAGTAATAAAAATGAAATGATGAAATAAGCAATATATGGATTATTAAAATGACACGGAATAAAACTGTAATTTCATTTTTTGAAACCATCCTTTTTTTCGACTACAATAAAATTGCAATTTCATTTTTCCATCATCCAAAGATCAAATTTGTTCATTTTCAAGGCACTGTGAAAGTGCAAATGGTGGGAATCAATATATTACCTAAACACTGGATAACAAGCACTTTGGAGTTTTGTGGGATGACGAATAAACCACAACATGATGTGTTTGTTGCTAAGGTGAATGAATGTGGTTTCCTACACATAATTCCTTTCATACCATTTTTAGTGACCGACGAATAATTTAACCCTCTAGAAGTGAAATTCATCCACCATGGCACGTTTTTTGTATTCAAAATTTGAGTTACTCAATTAATGAAGTTTGCGCTACTGACATAAACTAGGCTAAATAACATCAGAATTGACTAAATTTGGCGAATGGAACTAATATTAATAAAGTTGTTAGTTATATTTGAGGCTTAAAATTTAAATTCTTCAAAACATATGAGATGATGTTAGTGACGGTAGCGACAGGCCACTGGCATATTAAAACCACTAGCCGTGTGATATTAAAAGTGAAATGAAGTTAATTTTAGTTGAAAACTTTACAAAAACTCATATTTATGGTCATGAATACTACCTCCATTCTGATGGACTTTGCCAAGTGCAAAATAGGTAAAAAAATATGAAGTAAAAACTGTGTAGTTGAGAATTGTGCAGAGGAGAAAGAAATATGCAGTCCCACAAATTAATTGCTTTAATAGGAAAGTGACAAAGTTTTTTTGGACAACCAAAAAGGCAAAGTTGACGAAGTCCAATGGGACAGAGGGAGTATTATTTAATCATATATTTTCTAAATAAAAAAAGTAAAAAATGGAAAAAATAAAATTGTCATCTTCAATAAAAAATTGTTTAACAAATAAATAAGGTTATCACCCTTCGATCAATAAATAAATAAAATAAATAAGGTTATCAAACATGTTTTCAAAGACAACATGTCGGCTCTAGCCAGTGGCGGACCTAGAAGTTGGCTGGAACTTTTCTCAAGCGGGGGCACTGTATAGACGGAGACGGGTCGGGTCGAGTGTGAGACTAATCAATACAATGTATAGATGATTTTTTAAAACAAAAACAAGTGATTCAATTTCAGTTTCAAGTGATTTACATCTATGTACAACATGTCTAGTTTTTAACCCATTGAAACAATAATACTATTACTTCATATGAATTGGAACTGGATCATCCTGACATCATTTTTGTTTTAAACTAGAATTCAAGTTGTACATTTTCGTATTACAATCGGTCAAAATTTTGATTTAGAACTAGGATAGTGTCCAACGTTACACGTCGAGCCATAGATTTACAATGTCCAAAATTCCTTCATCAACTTGGGATTAAATTGAGAACCCTAACATGTAACTCCCGGATGAGCTAATAAATTACTTTAATTCTTGATTCAATTATCTCTCGTTTCTTACTACTACACCCATTTCTAATAACTTCTGATGGTATCATGTTGTTTTTGTCGGAATACGCCCTTTATTTTTACAAGAGAATCCCAACATTTTAGTAACATAACCATGGAGAAATATCCAAAGAAAGTATCCACAAACTTCTTTTGTGCAATAGGCACAAAAACTAATTGTAACTGGTAATTGTAAGAAAACAATGAATATATCTTGTGTATGAAATTTCATTTAAGATAATCTAAAATCCATTAACCTCACCACACATATTGAAAATCTCTTCATATCATTAATTTCTAATTTTGGAAAAAGATATTCTAGAATGATACCACATATTTTCTAAAATCCATTAACCTCACCACCAATGCCACATTTCAAAGTATGATTGTGTCAAGAACATGGGTCTAATTGTCATTTAAATATCTTATATCAATTTTCATCATAACTTCATAGTCATTTAAATGTCTTATAACAATTTACATGTGCTGTTGACAGAACTAATACATAGCTAATAATTATAGTTTTATACGGAGTATCAAGAGCGGGGGCACTGATTATATTATTAGTACTAATATTAAAGTTCGGGGTTGGAAGCGGGAGCACTTGTCCCCCTAGGACCCCCTAGGTCCTCCACTGGCTCTAGCTCAAAGATAAGCGAATTGTCCTTTCAATAACAAGATTGATATCTAAACACACATATAATATCTTTTTTGTTCTTCCTATTCAATTAGCATGTTTGGTGTAAAAAAATTCAGTTGACATCACTGTCGTTTTCCTCGATGTTTACATGTAGAAAACGAGTAGTTTATAGATAAAAATTCCGCAAAATCAGACAAAAAAACACATTTGAATACTCGGTATAATTATAGATACGGAGTAGTAACTGATAAAGCTAATAAACATGTTGTTAACTTGATGGAACCAATGGTAGACTTTTAAGTTTGTACCTTCATATAAAAAACATTTGAGGTTTCCAGAATGTTATATTATGATTCATTTGCTCTTATTTTAGGTGTGCCTTTATAGAATCAATGATTTGATTTCATCAAGATCAAGTGATGCACTTGTTAAACGAATTGAGAGGTGGAGAGAAGGGGCGGGGAGGAAAGAGAGATGGAGTTTCAAACAAGCATAAATTAGAGGAATCGAAAGTGATATGTTTCGTGAATTAGAGGAATTAAGAGTGACTTGAATTAAATGAGAATATAATTTTGGAGAGAGCAAAGTGGGGGACAAATATTTGTGTGAAGAATTAGGATGTTTTTACTTGGACTGTAATTTGCTGGTCTGGTCTGGTCTGGTCTGATCTGGTCTGGTCTGATCTGGTCTGGTCTGAACTGGTCTGGTCTGGTCTGGTCTGGTCTGGTACTCTGGTAAGGTCTGGTTTCTTTGTATTTTTATAACTATCCAAGTCTGGTCTGGTCTGGGGCAAATTACAGTCCAAGTAAAAACATCCTTAATCTCTTCTCTTCTTTTCTTTAAACCCTTTTTATTTTTATATATATTTCTTTTTATGCATTTTACCTTTATCTTTATCTTTATCTAATCTTTTTTTTTAATCTAATCTTTATCTTTTTGTCTTTCTTTTCTTTTTGACACCTAATCTTTTTTTATCTAATCTTTATCTTTTTGTCTTTCTTTTCTTTTTGACCTGGATATCATGTATCGATTCATGTTAGCCAATTCCGAAATCTTTTGAGGCTAAAGTCTGATTGTTGTTGTTATTGTTGTAATGATTTGATTCGGTTAAGAATATTACACTATGGTTCAATTGTTATTATTTAATTAATTTTATTAATGATACTCTCAAATCAATGAATCAAGTTCCTCCATATGTGATGCTAAGTTGCTAATAACCATTGATGGTATTCCTCCAATTCTGAACACATTTTTCTCAAAGGTCATCATGCCTATCAGCCGATTTATAACACCACTCTTTGAGTCTTGGATAGGAAGTTCGAAAAGCCACAGTTCTGAGGGCACTACTTGAAAGTGGAGGGCTGTACTACATTTTTATCAGACTAACAAGTACTCCGTATAAGATTAGAACAAAAGTTATTGGTGATGAAGCATGCAAAACAGATCGGCAGTTCCTATGAAACCTGAAAAGGAGGGACTTGCATGACTGGACATTGACTCATTGCTATTTTATTTCTTTACCATTTGCAATTTCTGTTTATCTTGCGCAGTCTCATTTGTTTTGGTATTCTACATTACATTTTGTTTATTCATTTTGAATTTGGTAGGATGGGATCAATCTAATCCGGGTGATCTGGGTCAAACTACCTGTTCAAGAGGATCCACTTGGACAAACATGTTCAAATATATCATCCAGAAGACCAGAACCATGTCCATGTATAATTGTATATGACTTCTGGGACATGAAGCGGTGATCTGGAGCATACCTGTCCAATATGACTGACATTTAGTTTCTCTTGGAAAGAAGTACTTCGTATCAATTAGGGCCCAGAACCATGTTCAGGAGGAAATCTTAAAGTCATAAGTACCTATAACATCATATGGGATTCGGAACTGTTATACTTGTACATCATTTGTCACAAAACAAATCCAATAAATGGAAGAACAATTTCCACAAAACATGTTATAGTTAAAAACACAATACTCGAACAAGAGAGTCACGCATCTAAGTAACTAAGCCAATTTTTTTCCCTTCAGGGGGCCTTTGGGAATTTTGCTGAGAACCTTAGCATCAAATACGACATATTGCTTTTTTATTTCAACACCAGCCTTCTCAGCAAAGGCTTCAATCTGATCCTCATACTTCTCGTACAGCACAGGTACAGTGTGGAGCAACACAAAACCTGTTTGTGGCAAGGTAATAAAAAAAATTGTTAGAATATTTTGTACAGTCATCAATATGCATTTAGAGACTTGACTAAATCAAAGAGAAAGTACTGACTGATGTAAAACAAGGTAAGGAAGTTGCATTGGCTCCCTAAGATTGAGAGAATCCACAGGCCAACAATAACCTGCTCATAAATAAAATACCAATAACCGTATCATTATCAAGGGTCTCATCGGAAGAAGGTGATTACTATCAGGAGAAATTATGAAGGAAAATTGATAAGATTCTGAAAAAAGATGCAGGTGAAATTGGGGAAGAATTGGTGCAATTAAAAAATGATTTATCGGCGATTCGACATTCGATCAGATTCATTTTTTCATTTACATAAGTTACTACATAAAGGCTAAGAAATCAAAATATATGTACAAGTTATGATCATATGTCGTATATCTGTGCATTTCCAATTGTAAAACCAGATATTTATGTATCCATTTCCTTGGAATATTTTTTTGATTTCCAAACTACTTCTGTGTTGCAAAAATGCAGACAGATCCCAAGAGAACCCAAAAACTTAACACTATGTGTTATACTACAAATTAAATATAGAAAAAGAACTTACGCCAAGAAACTTTTTCGAGTCTTTTCCGGATGCAATATCTCGAAGGTTGTCCAAAGCACCATTAATTTCAGTCCTTAGTGCAGATGCTACAGAAACAACAATATCCTCAGGAATAACGACTTCTGGGATATGAAGTGGTGACCTGATACATGCAAATAAGGTTAACTTCCGAGGATACCGTTAGGATTAGGATTCACGATGCGAGAGGTGAAATAATTTTTACTATTTCTTCCTTGTTCATCAATGTCACATCACAAAAAACTTAAAAGTTGAATCATGTACTTTCTAATTTTTCAATTTCTCGTTTCAACTCCTTCCCAGCCAGCTAATGTGAGAGTGAATAAATAAAATAAACATCATCCCTCCAAGCAAAAAATAAACTCCTAGCTAAACAAAAGAACATAGCAGTCCAAGGTAACTGGCATTAAGAAGAGGGAAAAGAGCTCACTTCTTTAAAAAGGTTGATGCATTTGACAGCAAGAAAGAGATCGCGAGAGCAAGAATCAATACATGGCATACTAGTGTAAGCAAGTGGTACTCCAGCAATTCAAAGAACACCCAAATTGCAGTAGCAAAGCCAAGCACACCTGCAGTGACTTTCTTGTTCCTCCAGAGAAAAATATCAGCAGCTGCAGTAGAGTAAACAGTGAGAACAACTAAGAAATAAAGAAACACGCAAAGGACAAAATCCATGAATTATGTCTTAAAATCATTCTTAAAAAGGCAGCCCATAATGAAGTCTTAACTAGAAAAAAGAGAGAAAAACACCACATTTTGAAGTCCGCTTCCACAAGCTTCTCAAACAAGTCTCACAAATCACAATATCAGAAGTTGTAAAAATCACAAATCACAATATCAGAAGTTGTAAAAATGCTTACAAGAACAGAACCAAGCTGGTCTGTTAACACATCTCAATTTTTGCCAAACCAAGGTCTATTATTGATAATTCCAAAGACTGATGGACAAAAATAGACAATAAAATACAATTTACAACTCATAGAAGACCATTGAAAACATCATAAATATAAAATATACAATTAACAAATCATTCTTCCTAGCTAATGGAAGAATTGACACATCTGTTGTAGATATCCATATTAACAGTTTCAAAAAAGGCACTACTTCATACTAATACATGAAAGAGAAAACTATTGCTATCAATTTCATTTTTACTGATAATTAAACCAATCACACCCATCATCAAATCACCATATCTACTAACCGAAGTATTGCATATTTGGAACAGAAGACATTTTCCGATCCACTTACGTTTTCCACCGCCTAGCACATTGTGAACTGGCTTCTCACGGCCGAAAAGACGATAGATCTTGGCCTTGACGGCGTCGACTTTGGACTTCTTGTCCGTCTCGTTATCTGAATCCGATGAAGAATCGTTGACGAGTGGAGTTTGAACAGATTCGTACTCGCCGGAGTGATCGGCCATCGGAGAGTAAAAATTTGGTCTTGGTTTTGGACGACTGGTTTTGGTGCCTCTCTCGTTGGTGGGTGACTTGCCCGAGTGAGGAAGACCGAGTGGTAAAGGTGTGACTCCAACCAAACCTGAGGCTCGGAGTAGCCGATCCCAAAAAGAGGTTAGGAAAGTTACTGTCGGTGCACGGAGAACGTCGCATTTTAACGGCGGTGATTGTGGGAACGTGATCCGGGATTCCGAAATGGGCCAAAACGCTATGGGACTGTGTTACCTCATTTACCCAAAATGATTTATAGTTTTTTTTTTACTTAGATTAGCTTTTATATATATCTCTACAATATTATAAGAGTGAATATTGTCAGGGATATAATAGTCATTAAAAATGTGTTGGTGTCTCTTGATTGCATGAAATTAGTGTACATCGCGTATACTTTTTTGTACACCTGACCTCAGTTGTAGCTTCTGTTTTAACGGAAATGTTAAAACAACGTTAACCCTTCCTTGCTACCGCATGATCTCCTCCCAGTATTCAGATATCATCGTTAGGGAAGTCTGAAGAATGAAGATATTCACAAGCTCGCCTCCCATGGGCAGCCTGAAGAACGAGGTCGACATCATTTTGACTTCTTCCGATGTCATGGTGGACGGGTTTTGTACGAGCATGTGCGGGACCCACGGGTCTTTGTTGAGTTCCAAGATTACCTCTGCCGAAGGGAAGAACTACAAGTTTGCCTACATTTGGGTGAGCTATTAAGTCTTTCTCGAGCATATAATCATTTATTAGTCTGCCTCGCATCGCTCATCAAATCACATTTACGGTACATATCAATCAGCCCAACACTCACAAATGGAACTATAACTATGTCTTTATCAGAAGATAATGCAATGTTTTTCCTGCAGTTTGAAGCTTCAGTGCAGCAGAAGCTTTCAGAGAACTTGATAAAATGAACATGTTTGGAAACATTCCAGACCTTCTCATCCATCCCAACATTTCCAATGTCGTATCTATCACACCGGCCAAACATATATTCAGCCATGTTTGAAGTGCTAAGTGCTTGTACAAATGCTTAAATGAGGTATTTAGATTGGTAGAAAAATCTCTACTCTTTAAAGCATACTAGGTGCTTGCAAATATACCTAAATGTGTTTTTAGACTATTTTATACTTTATGTATACGAACCGGGCATACATGCATAACTGGTCAAGGAGCAGTAAGATACTAAATTATGTTAGATAAGTAGTTGAATTAGAACAAAGAGTAGTATTTTTGAGGGATATTACCCAAAATAGGATCAAACAAGTTTGCAAATTCCAAAATAGGACTTTCATGTTTTTATTCTCAAAATAGGATTTATTACTGTCATGTTTTGGCAGTACCAGACTTCAAACATGGCAATAGTTTCCAAATTTGGCAGTAATTAGTCCTATTTTGGGAATAAAAACATGGCAGTCCTATTTTGGAATTTTCAAACTTTTTTAGTCCTATTTCGGGAATTTTCCCTATTTTTAAAGATTGAGATTAACTAACAGTAGATAAAATCAAATCTAAGATACACCTTAAATAGTGGTAACTAGGATTGAATTATGTTAGATGAGTCAGAACAACTAAGACATTTGTTTATTTGAAGAATCAGTTGATACTCAAGTCTTTGTAAAATTAAAGTTTACCCCTGTATATTAATTAAACAAGAAAAGTATCACTTTCTCAAAAAACAAATTGTAAATATAACATGCTAAAGGAATTGTCGCTATAAAATCATATCTGTGTGGATCATTCGTCGAGCATGAGTTCCACCCATTAAAAAGTGGTACTGTATTAGAACCGTTATAGAACTAGGACCCTGAATTTGGCAAATACTAAGATTTTTTATAATGTCCTCCGCAAGGGCTTGTTACTAATGATGTGCAACATATGTCCTCCAGAGGGGCTTGTGATTGGGTTAATCTATGTTTTTTAGGTAAGTACATATTCATAGGTTTTTAAACCGACATGTTTGAAAAAGATAAATAATATGGTGAATGTTGACATATAAATGTCTAACGCTAATAATACTTGTAAAATGAATTTTTATCTCATATGGTTCCTTAATCACCAGTTCCACATTTTGTAAAGAAAGAAACTCACCTTCATTTTATGTGCATTCTAATCACATTTTAAAAATACAAAATTTTGGTCACACATCTAATTTTTGGTTGAACTATGTAAACGAGAGATCTTAGTGGAGCTTGTAAACAAAGATTCTCATAACTTACTTGACAACTCCTCCGGGTAAAGGATTTAAAAGGCTGGTAACACTAAGATCTTATTGATTCTGTTAGATCTAAGATTCTAAAATGGGAGGATTATCTTCTCTTTGTTGCTGTCAGATTTACTCTTTTTATAAGTATTTCCAATATGAAGAATTGGCTTAAGAGTTTGGTGAATGTAGGCCATCTTTTCTTTCATTTAATAGTTATAAAGTTTTTCTTATATTCATAATTCATTTTGAATTTCTTGATCTAATATACTTTGCTGATGCACACTCTATATATATATATATGTTGCAGTGCCATGTAGTTCGAAGTTATTGAGTTGGTTTTGTTGTCAGCCAGAGGCATTGGCAGTGTTCCAATTATATTTTCTTTCCAAGGACATGAATAATCAAACATATAAATTATCTTGCTTTGGATGGACCCATGATGTCTTTGGAATTGGGTCTGCAATCATACTTAAGGTCCAATCTTCATCCACTGCAGAAAGATTGAGTGAAATTGGCATGTGGTTTTTGACTCCTCATAGTTTCCACTAATCTGATTGCACATGTTTCTGAAATTATGGTAATCTAAAATACCATTTCCAGATTAATATAGAATAGTTTATTTCAGTATTACCATGATAGGTTTCAACTCAACGTGAGCCAGACTAGATAAATAATTGTAGCAAGAAAAGGAAAATGTTCTATTTGTATCAAGTGGATGCATGGTGGCTGCACTATAAACTACCTCAGTCATAGATTAAAGAGAAAATGGAGCTACCTTTGACATTTATATTCTGTAATTGGAATATTTGGAAGTTCGCGAAGGAGATGGTATATCTCAATCACAAGTTGGTGTCGTTAGGACTTTATTACCTCCTTTTAGATGTCTTTGTAAACCAGTCTTTAAAAATTGGTTGATTACTTTTCACATTTACATCTACTTTTGCTATTCGTTCCTATGGATATATAAATACTTACTTTTGCTATTATAGACACTACAATACGTCTATTGTTCTTGGGCATTCTATTTAACGCGCGTAGCGCGTTAGAAACTAGTTTATAATAAAAGGCTAAAATATGTCGTTAGTCCCTGTAAATATAGTGCATTTTGTTTTAAGTCTTCGCAAAATATTTTTTAGTTATTCATCCTTGCAATTTGCACCGTTATCTATTTTTTTCCTTGACCGTTAACCTCCGTTAAAAAAGCTTACATGGCTTTTCCACGTCATTTTTTGAACTATTTTACTTTTTAAAATTCCATGTCATTCACCAAGTATCTCATTAGATTTCAATTTGATTTTCATCCTTGCAATTACTCCGTATACATTACTGAGGTCTTTAGAAGGCTTAACATTTTATTTTCGTTCTTACCATTACTTTCTGTCATGGTAAGGCTTAACATTTAAAAAAACTCTTACAAAATAAGTTGTTTAATTTACACAAAACAATATTTTAAAAAATACAAACAACAACTGACTTTAACACAAATGCCATACTTCATATTATCAAGTGTGCATAAATCCATAAAAATTGAATACCATTCTCACCAATAAAAACTTAAAAATAAATATATCAAAACAAAATCAACTAAGACTGCACTACACAAATTGTGGAAAAAGCAAATCCCTAACATCCATTACATCAGATGAGTATATTTAAAAATGAAGCAAGAATTCCTCTGAGCCGCAACATCAATCAACATGTCATGTAGGTCAAATCGGCTCCTTAATTTTGATATTCTCCTTAATCTTTGTCATACTGCTTCTTGATGGAATAGCTTAATTAGCACCATTTGTACAAGTTTCACTGTTTGCTTGTTCTCAAACTAAGCAATAGACTTAAATTCCAAACCCACCCTGAATTTATAATTCTTGTTCAGTTCTTCCTTCCTAAAGATTGGAAACCTTTTCTGGTTTCTGACTCTAAATGACACTCAGAACTATAGAGTTCTTTAGAGAGATATTCATCATCCATGTCATGACTATATCTTCCATCATTCACCTCATGAGACATATTATTACAATATTACCTTCACAGTTTTGGTGACCCTCATTTATGACCAGTATATTATCTTCATTTCTAGCGGGCTTTGTTTTTAGCATGCACCTCAAACCATCAATTTCAATGGTAGAATGTACTTAAGCAGCACTTCCATCAATAAAACCATCATCAAGCCCCAAATTCTTTTCCTCCTCACTATCATCAAAATAAACCTCATTCGCATCATCTTCACTCCCATCATTATCACTTTCTTTAGGATCTTCACGAGCAATCTTACCTCGGGCTTCATCACCACTAACCAGTTCAACATAAATATGAACTAGAGAACTAGTTTTCATAGCAAAAGAAGTAATTTTTGCAGTATCATTGTCACTCATAATCCCTTCATAAGCATTCTCGGTTTTCCACCATAACAAAATATCATAAGGGTTGTATCCAATTTCTTTCACTATCTCAATTGATTCAAAGTAACTCCATCAATCAACATCGGGGATTTTTTCCACACATTGGGAGCCATTCATGTAATCCCCTTTCTGAAAGTGACCTCCATGGTGAACTACCAGTTTGAAACTCATAGCTGCAAATATGCCAAACAACAAATTGATTACAATCACTCTCTTAAGTATTCCATGTAGCTACAAAGTAATGTTGGCAATTTACTTTCCAATTTTTTGTCATATTGTCCATTTAATTAGACAAAGGCAGGGATTATTTTATTCTACACAAATAAACTATTCTTTTCTTTTACTAGATTGGCGTATATGTATTGATATTATTATTTTTTGATTAAAATATTTGTTGTTTCACTGCTAGGCATCCATGGAATTTATAGAAATAGACTTATGCTTAAATTTGATATTAGTTCTCACAATCACTCGTGTATCCTTCATCATCAACCAATCCTTTATGTGGGTCAATTAGAAAATATAAGAACTAAAACATTATAATTAAGGCATGACCGACCAAATATATGAATTAAGCCACCGTGAGTTTTTTTTGGACACCACTATGAGGTTTGATTCTCATAGAAAAAATTACAAAAATATGTTCATATATACACACACATGTATGAGTTGTGTATAAAAGTTACTGTAATAGTGGTTTTTTTGCAATCTTAATACAAAACATATACGGAGTATCATACGAAGTATAATACAACAATCGAAATATAGTTCTGAATTTTCCATA